ACATTCTTCACGTACGGAAGAGCTCGCCAAACTTTTGGGCCAGTTGGACGTGATTTCTTCCCTCGTCTGCGTATGCACTGGTTGACACTATTGCGCGGATAACCCTTCGCTCTCAAACTATCGTACCATTACCTATGATTAAGGATTCCGGACGGAATTCGAAACGTCAGGAAAATAAAACTCTGAAATGTTGGGTGTTCCGGCCTCCCATTTCACTGATAGTTGAGCAGGAATTTAAAGCTAAGTTTAAAGACATTGTACAGACCGGTTGAACTACTAGGCTAACTTTGTTTGTAAGGGGATTTGTCAGCTTTTAATAATTTGATTGACCCAATTGCACTTTATGAACCCAGGTTAAACCATTCTAGATGACCCCATTTCTTTTCACGTCACCTTTATGTTCCCTCATCTTTTTTTCGCTAGACAGCTATACAAAAGTATCCACCAGTAAATGTTTTTCGTTAAGGCGCTAGACAAGAAGGGTCTGCTCCCACTTATGTACATCAATGGTCCGGGTGCACCGGTGAACGAAACACGGAAAGATGTGAATAAAATGACAGACGAGGAGACGAGCGGTAACGACTTCCTGCAACAAGCTCTGGTCCCTATAAGATGGTCCACTCATGGTGGGGACGATGTGCCTGTCTACGCCACTGGACCCTTCAGCTGGATGTTCCACCGCACCGTTGACAACACCTTCATCGCCCAGACAATGAAGTATGCTATGTGCGTGGAGCCCTACACTGCGGAGGAACACTGCAGCCGCAGTACTTCAGACACAGATGGTACTGCAACCGTCCACAAGCCCTTCTTTGGCGCTATCCTGGCGTTCTTAGTGCTCCTCTTCAGACCGTAGAACGCTTCCCAGATATGCCATCACCCTGCAGTCTTCGCGACAAACTATGATGCACATTGAGTAAATCAGGGCGGGGTGTACATCTGCCTTTGAAAGTAAAAAAAAACTTCCGTTTTGTTGTCTAATTTCCTACTGTTTCCTTAAATTGTGTATACTCAAGCTGAATAAATTTGTTCTTTAAAACTTACCTTCTACTTTTGAGAGAAAGCCTACTGCTTCAACAGACGGGAGCAAGTTTTGTTCTTGCTTTTATCGAACTGCAGGGAGCGGAGGGACATATGAGATGTGCTAATCATACAGTCGTGGGTGTGAAATTGAAAAAAAGGGCAGTTTTAATAATCCCCTATAAGGTCTGAGAATATTTCCGTTGTCAATTCAGAAAGTGTAAACATATTCTTTCAGCAATTTATCATCAGGCCAGTACAATGGCAGAGATACTGAAAGTCCTTTTTATGGACAGGGTCAACAAAGGGGCTTTTTAAGACAACTAATTGTTAGTACGTAGGTGTACTCTGATCTGTTCCAGGATTCACCAACCCTGGCTGTTTCGTCAGGCGAGTGGACTGGACACTTCCAGTTTATTTTTCTCAAGGACGAAACAATTATGTTACTCGCTAAGTATAAGTAACCAATGTATTACAGGCAAACTTTAGGACCGCAAGATACGCGTATGTCAAGCTCATTAGCTTTCGTCAGCTGCAGTTACCCGACTTCAGTATAGCCACAGAAACTGCCTAACCTGACGAAACAGCCAGGGTTGGTAAATCCTGGAACAGATCGGAATACACTTCGTACTAATCTATATCCCGATCGAAAACCGGCCAGACGTCGACCCGGTGGCTCAGTGGATAGGACGTTCGTCTCTAGCTCACTGGTCGTGGGTCCGAAACTCAAGTGTAGCGGCAGTTTCTGTGGCTATACTGGAGTCGGGTAACTGCAGCTGACGAAAGCTAATGAGCTTGAACTACGCGTATCCTGCAGTTCTAACATTTGCCGGTAATACATTCGTTACAACTAATCGTTTTCACGCCGCCCGCATGTGAGATTCGCTGGGGGAGGGAGGGAAGAAAGGGGAGCAAAATTAGGATAGGTTGTGAGCGTTGCTCATGTGTCAGGTACGTTGAGTGATCATTACTGTCCCTTGCACGCAGTGAAAGACTGTCAGCAGGGGGTGGGGACGATGTGCGATCGCCACCTGGCGTCATCATCGGCCATGGAAGTGAAAGGGCTTGTGTAAGCGTCGCCTGTTTTTACCGAGCCCTCCCTCTCCCCCCTGTGCAAGATATATTGGCCAAACAACACGGCTCCTGGGAAAGAATATACATCAACACATACTGGCCTGGTTAGGTAAAGGCGAAAGTAAATCGATTTTGAGTTCTATTCCCGCATACCTTGTTCATACGAATCACCGTCTCAATGCTGATGAAGGCTTTCAGGTTGTCTTTCGGACACGAGCCAACGCCAGTGGGTCCTTGCAACAATCGAGTCATTTGCTATGTTGCTAGCTAATTGAGTGTTGTGCTGTCAGAAGACGTTAAGAAAAATCCTTCACTTTCGTGGCCAACGCCAACGCTAGGTGGCGATCGCATATTACCCCTAGCCCCTAATGACAGTCCTTCACTCCATGCAAGTGAAAATACGTATTACTCCACGCGTGAGTGTTTGACCATCGATCTCTATGAAGTCCACCAAGTGCACTAACAGGTTGGTACAGAAGGTGACAGCCTCGGGGGGTAGCTTAAAGCGATGGCGGAAGAAGTGAGCGCCAACCGCTCTCTTCACCTTCATCCGAGGTCAAGAAGACCAAACGGGACCCGGCGTAGGCTGCTTTCTCCCATGCAAGCCGACACACTACCTCATTTAGTCTTAATTGGCATTCGGCTTTGCGCGGATACCACTGCACTACTTATCCTCGCTCACTCTTAATAGGTGGGAAGACAGGCCGAAGGAGGCCGAAACTGATATGGCAACTACTATTTCTATTATTATTGACTATCAATGTAGCCAAATCTTTGTAGTACTAGTACTATTTCTGAGGCCAACATTTGTCAGAACGGACACTGATTTTACATCAACGCTGAGGTGCATACCTCCTTTGTTCTCAACAAGGAGTGGGAAATCTGGGTTTCCGTTATTCCGAGTAAACACACATCCGAAGCTCTGAGCAAGGCGAGCCCTGTTTTCCGCCCTCTCAACTCTATCCTCCCGGGCTGTGTCCGTTTCAACTAGGAGTTGGACTACGATACTGCTGCTATAAGTACTTTTCTGTGCTAAAGTGATTGCCCTGGTTGTTTTCTAAAGTTTAAACTGGAGAGCTAGGATGCTTCTGTTAGAAATGCATTGCCTATGCTAGAAGTGCTAGTTCTGGTAAGCATACTTACCAAAACCAGTAAGTGGCAAGGAAAATTTAACCTTTTATGCAATCCTAATCTATATGGGGGATTTTTAGTAGATTGAATGGTTCAGGAAACGTGTGTTTAATACTAGCTGAAAATATACCATTCATTTAGGTCGTAAAAAGTGGCGAAATAGTGATGATATAGTATCAGATAGATGCTAGTTCGACCACCGATTTCAATTATGTCCACCATGCGCCTCTTTCATAGTCACTGAGTGCAGCTTTCGAGAGACAACACACAGCCCTACGGTACCATCTTTCTGCATGATTGGTTGAACGGTTACCATGCCTTTATCTCGCAAGGTCGTGTCACTTACCGTCTTCAGACGAACTCTAGAATTGCTACCATATCTAGCCATAGTTTGGAAGTTACAGAACGTCTCCCGTTTAACTAAGGGCACAACATGTTCCAGAAGTACCTTAGCATTATAGCGTGGTATTCCCAGTACGGTAACAATATGTGATTGGTAAGACATGCATCTTATATTAAAAATAAGCCTAACTGATGGGAATATGCACTTACAAGCTTCCTTGTCCTCCAAGAAAATGATTGAAAGAACATGCTGGGTTAGTATTTGTTGCTGTACGGATGACGCAGACCAGCATATACAGGCAGATGCTCACGAGTGATGAAGGCATTGCAAGTCACTCGATAAGGCTTTGTGTCGGTCGAGCGCCCAGATTGGTTTGTGAGCAAATAATTACCTCCGGCTGTGCACGCGACATTTTGGCCATTAATTTTGATGACGCCCAAATAATTCTCCATAACTTGGGCATCACTCCACGTACCTGATCAACGCTCACTACCTACCCAAATTTCCTCCCATTTACCCCCCTGCCCTAGCCCAAGGACCTTTACACGCCGATCTCGTCTAATTGTACTATTTTGATTGTCCCTGCAATCGCCCTGGATTGACGCTGAATTAGTTAAAAACATATATTTGCCGAATAAACTTCCCAAATTCCCTAAACGTCATACATATTATCCTACTGAAGTAAAAGACGCGATCACTGGGTCGACAATCGCATTATTCTGAACTTCTATTCGTGAGAATTTGGGACGTGATGCGCTTCCTACAGCTCGCAAGTGGGAGACATTCTCCACCCGAGAAGCAGCCACGATTACTGCACCGATGCGTTCGTGAGGGAGTGGTGCCAAGAGCCTACGTTACAGAACTCCAGTGAATACTGAATTGGCCAGAAATGTTATGCACCACTTTCGCAGGCAAACTACAAGGGTATTGATCA